TCAGAAAATTGCTTGAATGTCCCAAATTAACTTATAAACACAAATATCCCGTTGAAATTCAGCACAATAAAATATTATGTAAATATAAATATATTCACAAAATTTTATCGGGCTTGGTCCATATTTGCCCCTAGCCCCCATATAAAGCCTCTTTCAGAAAATTAGTTTTTAATCCATGAATTGCTTAAATGTATCGGAACAAGGGAATATTGAAGATAAATGCTTTATTATGAAAAATAAATCACATTTAATATTCATAACTGGTGTAGGGTATCATATGGTCGGCCACGCCCGATTATACTTTCTTACTTGTTTTTGTTTGTTTTATGTGCACAAACTATACAAAGGATGTTTTTTTTTTTTTAAATTCTTAATATTCTCGTCCTGTTTTTTTACACAATTTATAGAAAATAAAGAATTTTCTGTAATCTTCAGCAAATTAAATTTTATTTAGTTTATTTGTAAAAGAAAATATGGCTTTTTTATATTTTAACAATTTTATAAGTTTCTGGTATTTGGTTTATAAGAAATTAAAAATGCAAAATCTTATTAGAATAAATAAATGTGTATTTTTTTGTTGTTTCTAGGAATTTGTTTAATAAACAAATTCTTAAAATTTGTTACTATTTAAAAAGAGGAAATCTTATTATTCTTGTTTAATGCAGGAATTTTTAATAAATAAATAAGTTTTTAATAATTTGCCAGAAAATTCAGGAAACTAAGTAAAATCAATATGATTTGAAAATATGTATTTAATTTTTGGTTTTGTGTTCAAATGGCTTAAAGAAGCTTAAATTTTTTTAAAAAAACAAAATATAAATTTCAATTATTTACTTCCCCACATATTAACTAACAATTCTTTGATAACTAAAATAAATTTTTTAATCTTAAAATAATTATAGAAAATATATTTGCAATAATTTCCACGAATATTAATTCCCAAAAATCAACTGTTAAGCAAAATATTGTTTTAATCTCTTTACCTTGAAAAACGATTTTAACAATTTTGTAAAATACTTTAACAGGAATCACTTGTCACCTTTAATATGAAAATAAATTTATGACTTTGTTTTAGAAATTGTTAAAAAAAAAACGTTCAAAGAATTTGATTACTTTGTAATTGAATATTTTAAAACGAAAAGTTAGAACATTTTTTAATACAAATGAATTTGTATTTTAATTAAAATTAGCAGTTTTTTTTCTCATAGAAATTTACAGCAAAATTATACAATATATATAGACTTATAGAGACCCCTATTTGTTCTATAGAACTGTACCGTAGTTGACATTTTTAAACAGACTCGTCTGTTTGTCTGTCCGTCCTTCTATCTGTCTTTCTGTTTGTTTGTTGAAATCAATATTCTGAACAGCATTTGAGGTGTTCATCATCGGGATCCAAATATTCAATAAATAGGATTCAAAATCAGCAATACCTGCCTATTAATAAAGTAGATGTGAAAATATTGTCCGAAAATACGAACTTTTTTCATTAGGTACCCAACAAAAACTCAATAATGACTTGTACTTAAAGAACAACTTACTTTTAATTTTTTTTATTACTTTTATATTACTTTTAAGTACTCTTTTAATGCATTACATATAATGAGATACGTAAGTTCTTTACTTTGAATTTTGCCGTTTATATTTTACACAAACAGAAAGAAAATAGTTTTTTCTGTGTGAAAACCACAATAAAATAACTAAGTAGTGGTGTTGTGAGTACGACAGCGAACTAACGAACAAGAGGCCCACGTTCGTATTTTGTGTGAGCAGTTTTTTTGCAAGTAAAAAAACAACTTTTGTATTCCATATTTGTAAGAACTTATTTAAGTAGTTATTAGTAAGCAAACATTGTAAGTACTTGTCTCCAATTGTTTCACAGCTTTAAAATAATGAGTTAAAATGGTGGTGAATAAGTATTGAAAAAAGGCTTTTTAGATTTTTATCTCATTGCTTTTTATTATAAGTTATTGTTGAGATCCCTTAAAATACAGTGGTACAGCAAAGACTGACGACTCATTGGCTACAAGTCCAGAAAAAAATTTTTGATTGTAAAAATGAAAGAAATTCAAAAAACTAAACATTAAGACCTTTTATAAAAAATTAAAAATTTTAAATAAATAAAAATTTAGTACCGGTTTTACAGAGCAGGGAAATTTATCTTTAAAAAATATGACTTTTTATGACCTTTTATTTTTTGTTTTTGCAAATATTCAATAATATGTACATCCGTTAATCAAAGAGGCCAAAAAAAAAAAAATTACGAAAAACAATTGCTGCTGTCAAAAAAGTTCTCGCACTATACGTGTTCAAACTTGTTCTATTTTTCTAGGTTTTTCGGAAATTTGATCACATCTTGGATATTAATGTACCGATTTAATATCTAATAGAATATGGGGATCATCAGAATGTAATTCTGAGCCGATTTATGGCTTTTTATTCGATAAAACATTCGGACATAAAACCCTTTACTTTGGCTTTCATGAAACTAATGAATGATGAGACTAACTATTAAATATGACAACACCGATTAAAATGTTAGTTTAGAAATTGGAAGAAATGTGTAAATCTTTTTCGTTTAAAATTTGTTCGTTTTTTTGGGGACCAATTGTGGCTTCATGTTATCTAATGGTTATCTAAACGTAAAACGGAATTCTATTAAACTAGTTCTTCGAACTACGAGATCCATTAATAACCAAAAAGAAATGTTATAGGATGAAATATGAAATTAAATATTGATTATTTCATTACATTTTCGGTCTATTTGAGCTTTTCAATGTTAAAAAATAAAAAACACTTTTCTTTTTATGGCATATTTTTTTTAAATTTTAAGAGCATTTTTTAGAGTATTATTCATAAACTTTTATCAAAGGTTTATAAATAAAATTTTTTCAATAAACCTTTGATAAATGTTTATGAATATGGCAGTTAGTTTTTTTACTACTTATTCAATGCGCTTAAAACGCTAGAGCATTCCCTGGTCATTACCCTAATACTATGTCTGTACTGTCACTTTTCTGAAATATTAAAAATTTTGCTTTAACCCATGTCCTCACTACTCAATCTTTTTTCCAAATTTAATTTTTCGATGTCATCGTTTTTAATATATTTCAGCTAGTATATATTCAAAGCGTATCAACAGGTGGACGTAAGTGGAAGCTGTGAAATCTTGCCTATTATCAGCCGGTTATCAATCAGTAGTAAAGAATTAATAAGCTTCTGAATTAATGCTTCACTTCTCATCATAAGAAAGTAATATTTTGATATTTAGTAAAACCATTTAAAATTTGTATTTGGTTTTGTAAAAAGTTTCGAACTTTTTTTAAAGTCTTTATTTATTGAATCCTTTAATTCCTTATTTATCCTTATTTCAAACAATTTCACTTTACATAGAGAAAAGAAACTAATACAATAAAAGTCTACAAAATTTATAATTTCTTTTAAGAAATGTTCCGCTTTATGACACATCATTAGCTCCTATGATTTTCAAAATCGAATGCCAGAATTCATAAAATTTTCCCTGTTAAAAAACCAGCTTACAATAGCAAAAGATCTCGTTGTATTATTAAATATATAGAAATTTTCTTGTTAAAAATATATATTACTTTGATCAAACTCAAATCAAATTTTATATACTAATTTATTTTTGCACTTGAATAAAAAACCGGCAAATTTTCATCACCAAACTTTTACTAAAATACATATTTCAGGAATTGGAGTTTTATTTATAACAACCTGTAATAATTTAAAAAAAAAGCTTTCAGTCATAGAAAAGCTGATATGCAAAGGAACCTAGAGTCTGCATACTCAGTTTTTTATAATCAGCTCTTATGTCCTTATAAAAGGACTCCAAGGTGCAAAGGACTAACAATTGCAAACAAATATTTTTAATAGTATGTGTTGTATTAAGCTAATATTGATATCAAATGAGAGCTGGGAATCTCTACATTCTATATGTATTATTTATTTTACTCACTTAAACAAAAAAATCTAAAAAGAAATTAAATTTAAAAAAGGTCTCATTTTCGAAATAAACATTTTAAAATAAAACTTTTTTGTGTTAAATTTTCTTTAAGTTCCCTTTTCTTTTCTAATCATGATTAATTGAAATAGATAATATTATTTTGCAGAAGAGATTTTGTCAGTTTCATTTGGTATTAATAACAAATTTTTTATATAAATTTGAAATTCCATGTTTTGAAATCGTATGTCCTTTAAACTTTAAGGTTCTTTTAAAGGGGCATAAGGAGTTTGAAAGAAGGAAGTACATATATACATCAAATCCGAAGAAATACACCTAGGCCTCTATTGGGCCTGTTGAGCGCTCCTTAACCTGTGCCTCAGGTGGGAATCGAACCCACCACCTCCGGTATACCAGACCACTAACCTACCGGAGGAACTGCTTATGAAAAACTAAGTACACAGAGTTAATACAAATGGTCCATAGTTTTGTGTAGACATAGTTCTTTTCTTCAGTGATAATGACTGTTGCACGGTGTTAAAATTTACAAAAATAATTAATATAAGAAATTTTTATAAAAAATTTGTTCTATAAAACTTCGATAAATGATTATGTATATGATTCTATTGCTTTAGATAAATGTGACAAATTTTAAATGTTATAAAAAATTGTATAAAATTTAAAATTTAATTCGAAATCATTAGTTTAACTTTTCATGAGGCAAACTTTGTTTTTTACTAATTTTAAACTTTACAAATTACCAAAGTTAAATCCATAATTAATGGAAATTATTAAGAATTTATTAATAATACTACTGGTTGTCCCCTAAAACAACAAACCATCTTCAATGTCCAGGTTTATTAACCATAAAAAATTATAATATTTGAAAAACTTGTACAGGAATTAAATAACCACTATAAACTGTTTTTAACATTTTATTCTCACAACTTTATTAAATTTTTAAAACAATAGACATGGAATTAACAAAAATAAAACTTTTATTTATTTTAGGTATTAATGACGTCAAAAAAAAACTTACTTGTTTAAAACTATTTATTTATTATTTATTTTGCTTTCAGCTTAAATTAAACACTTTTTGTCAATTTTTATTTTTTATATTTTTGTTTGCACTTCTTTTATGTTTTAAAAATTTTCTTTTATGATTTATAAAAATATATATATGTGAATTTTTTTTTTTCTAAAGGTAATTTTTATATTAAATTTTATGTATGTATGTGAATAGGTTTTTTATTATTATTATTTAAAACAAGATTTAATAATTTTTGCACAAAAAGTTTTCACTATATCATTTGCTCGTTTAATAGGATTTTTTTTATCAAAAGAAAAAAAGCTTGATACACATTATATTTATACAGGTCAATTAAAATTGCATTATAAGCGATTAAAATTTTTCTTTGTTAAGTTTTTTTTTTTTACATTAATCCTTTTTTAAATTATACAAGTAAATAAATGTTAAAAGTTTTTATAATTTTTCATAAAAAAATTATCATTTAAATTGCAGCAAAAATAAAAAAACTTGTTGCTTTTTCTGTATATAACTTTTGCTTTTAGCACAAATTAAATTTTAATTTAAGAAAATTATTTTGTTTTTAACCAATTTAAACATTTGCTAAAACAGCAAAATTTCCATAATTTTTTTTTTAATAAAAAATCAGCACGTTTATTATTTTGTCACTACACAGTGTGAACATTTTTTCTTATTTTTTTCAAATATCCTTTTGGTTGAAAATTTTGCTGGAGTTTTTTTTCTTCCAGTTATTGTTGTAGTTGTTTTAAATAATTTTTTTTTAAAGAATGCCGAGCAACACGTTGTTGACACAAAGACCGCCTAACAAAGACTAATATCACAACACAACACGCCAAGTGCTACATCAAAACACGCAATACACTCACTCACTCTTTTGTATTAAATGATGATAATAATGGAAAAGCAATCCAAGCTATAGCCAGCACAAAACAGCACAACTCCGTCGTTGTAGTCGTCCGTTATCTTGTTCTTCTTGTTGGGATTTTTTCCTACAACTGCTACAACTACTCTACTCTACTTTACTCGTACTTCTGTTGCTGTTGGTTTAGCTGGCTGCTATTTAACAAAAAACAACAACAACAACATCAACAGAAGAAAAAAACACTATATAGAGCTGTATTATTGTTGCTGTTAAAGAAGTCGATGATGATGTTGATGAGAACGATGATGGTGATGACGAGTTGTATGATATCATAATAATGATGTTCCAATTGAAATATCACACATAACCCAGTGATGACACACAAAAATAATATAGAGTTTAGTTTATTGTAGGGATACAAAAAAAAAACTAACATTATACTCTTATTATGCTCACATAAGGCCTCTCTCATTAAACATACTCTGCTCTAGTTATCCTTAAGAACTCTCTTTCGGTATAAATTCCAATTCATATTGTTTTTAGTCCTTTAAATCATCTCAGTTCCATTTCATTCCTTTTCTTTTTTCTATGACAATTTTCGGAGTTTTATTTTTAATTCTCTCCCCATACTTACTCACTCATTCGTGCTCTCCCTCACTGTCTCTTAATGTTTTCTTTCAATCTCCTGGTTTTAATTTTCTCTATTTACTCGGCGCATGTTTATTTTATCCTTATTGTCTGTGTGTTTGTACCTACTCTCTCTCTCTCTCCCTCGTTTCGTGTTTGCTCATTTTCCGAACGTCTGTATGTATTTGTCTGTTTTGTAATATTTTTATATCATTTGTTTAGTGTTAATTTCATGTGTTTTTTCCCTTTTTTTCCACTTTTCTTGTTTTGTTTATATTACCTTGTGTTTATTGTTTACATTACAACTTCCTTTTTGTGCGTAAACTTTAAAGTGCAATGTGTTCACTTGTTGGTTTATAATTTTCTCAGCAACAGAGTTTGCTGCTACAGTTTATTACACTGCAAGTGATGATACCTTAACGACTAAATTAGAGATTGGGGTTTTATACTAAATTTAAATCTTCAATCATGAAATAATAAATGTGGTAGGAACCTGGTGAAATTAATCTATATAAAAGGTCATTGCCATCACAAATTTGAATACCCTACCTTGTCATAGAGGAAACAGCGTTTATGCTGCGGTTTGTATCGAATAAAAACATTGGTCTTAATTGTACCGATCAAATCAGAATCTCTTTTTAAGCCGATATGTTCAAAAATTATTTTAAAATAATATTTCATTAGGAAAGGTTCTGGAGCACGGGTTCAGTTAGTTAGTTAGTTAGTTGGTTAGTTAGTTAGTTGGTTAGTAGTTAGTTAGTTAGTTAGTTAGTTAGTTAGTTAGTAGTTAGTTAGTTAGTTAGTTAGTTAGTTAGTTAGTTAGTTAGTTAGTTAGTTAGTTAGTTAGTTAGTTAGTTAGTTAGTTAGTTAGTTAGTTAGTAGTTAGTTAGTTAGTTAGTTAGTTATTAGTTAGTAGTTAGTTAGTTAGTTAGTTAGTTAGTTAGTTAGTTAGTTAGTTAGTTAGTTAGTTAGTTAGTTAGTTAGTTAGTTAGTTAGTTAGTTAGTTAGTTAGTTAGTTAGTTAGTTAGTTAGTTAGTTAGTAGTTAGTTAGTTAGTTAGTTAGTTAGTTAGTTAGTTAGTTAGTTAGTAGTTAGTTAGTTAGTTAGTTAGTTAGTTAGTTAGTTAGTAGTTAGTTAGTTAGTTAGTTAGTTAGTTAGTTAGTTAGTTAGTTAGTTAGTTAGTTAGTAGTTAGTTAGTTAGTTAGTTAGTTAGTTAGTTAGTTAGTTAGTAGTTAGTTAGTTAGTTAGTTAGTTAGTTAGTTAGTTAGTTAGTTAGTAGTTAGTTAGTTAGTTAGTTAGTTAGTTAGTTAGTTAGTTAGTTAGTTAGTTAGTTAGTTAGTTAGTAGTTAGTTAGTTAGTTAGTTAGTTAGTTAGTTAGTTAGTTAGTTAGTTAGTTAGTTAGTTAGTTAGTTAGTTAGTTAGTTAGTTAGTTAGTTAGTTAGTTAGTTAGTTAGTTAGTAGTTAGTTAGTTAGTTAGTTAGTTAGTTAGTAGTAGTTAGTAGTAGTTAGTTAGTTAGTTAGGTAGTTAGTTAGTTAGTTAGTAGTTAGTTAGTTAGTTAGTTAGTTAGTTAGTAGTTAGTTAGTTAGTTAGTTAGTTAGTTAGTTAGTTAGTTAGTTAGTTAGTTAGTTAGTTAGTTAGTAGTTAGTTAGTTAGTTAGTTAGTTAGTTAGTTAGTTAGTTAGTTAGTTAGTTAGTTAGTTAGTTAGTTAGTTAGTTAGTTAGTTAGTTAGTAGTTAGTTAGTTAGTTAGTTAGTAGTAGTTAGTTAGTTAGTTAGTTAGTTAGTTAGTTAGTTAGTTAGTTAGTTAGTTAGTTAGTTAGTAGTTAGTTAGTTAGTTAGTTAGTAGTTAGTTAGTTAGTTAGTTAGTTAGTAGTTAGTTAGTAGTTAGTTAGTTAGTTAGTTAGTTAGTTAGTTAGTTAGTTAGTTAGTTAGTTAGTTAGTTAGTTAGTTAGTTAGTTAGTTAGTTAGTTAGTTAGTTAGTTAGTTAGTTAGTTAGTTAGTTAGTTAGTTAGTTAGTTAGTTAGTTAGTTAGTAGTTAGTTAGTTAGTAGTTAGTTAGTTAGTTAGTTAGTTAGTTAGTAGTAGTTAGTTTGTTTGTTTCTTATAATCCTTCTCAATATCCCTACTATCCTCAATCTATCCCTACCATCTGGCAACTCATAAGCCACTAACTTCTATTTATTATTTTATTTTATATTTTTGTATTTTATTTTAATATTAAAATATTTTTACTCTCACTAGTTCATGTACAAACAAACGTATACAAACAGTAGCAGGAGCAGCACATTTTTCATATTTTACTTCTTCCTGTATCATTTTGTTTGTGATTTGTTTTATTTATTTTTTACAACATCCAGTTGTACTCAGATCCCTCTCTTGCCCCCAACGTTCCTCAATTCATACGCCAAAGAGGAGCATTAGTCGTAGAGTAAGTGAGTGTTCATCATCAGTTCAGTTCTACTTTGCCCCTAAGAAAATGAACTGAATTTATCCTAGATTTTTACTCTATAACTATGTGTATGATTTGAGGCTGCTAGGAGCGAAATGGGAAAAAAACTTCATTGATTTTGTTCATGTTGATTTTTTTGCCTTTTTATGAGTTGAATTTTATTTTTATTTTTTATTATTTTTCATGCGAATTGTATATAAAAGAAATGTTTTTGTTTTTATAAATTTCTTTTTATACATACATACATATGTATGTATGTGTTTCTATATTTATATAAATGTACTTTTATGTGTAGATCCTGCAAAAGCGTCCTGTTCATAAGTATGTCGGTTGGTTGGCGTGAGTATGAATTTTTGCAACAGGTTCCCATTACTTATAATGTTTTCTGTTCTTGTTGTTGCTATTGTGAGTATGAGTTCTCTTACACTTAACGTTTGTACTGATGTTTTCTTTTTTCGTCCTAGTAGTCAACGTTCTCATCGTCGTTGTTGTTGTCATTAAATATTTCTCTAGTGTTTACATTTCGTTTTTCTGCTCCCTTTTATTTTTGATTTATTTTATTTCATTTTTGTTATTATTTGTTTGTTGTTATAATAACAATTTTTTCATGCAATTTTTGTTTGTTTATGTATGCGTCTGTATGTATTGTATTTAAATGTATTTGTACATCAAAGGATTTTTCCATCCTAAGTTTTTTAGTATGTCTACATGCTTCATATATAGAATTCTTTTGGAGTTATATAAAAACAACAATAATAATCGTAGTTAGGTGAACCGGATTTTCAGTTTAATCGTTCATTTAGAAGGAGGTTATACATATTAATTTAATTCTTCAATTTAATTAGAAGATTTCTAGGATTAAACAGCTTCACAGAAATCTTGTTTTTGTGAACAAGTAGCAAAAAACTGTGTAACTAAACTAACTAAAAAAGAAGAAAGAAAGAAAGAAAGAAAGAAAGAAAGCAAATAAAAGAAACGAAAAGATCAATAAAGAAAAACAATAAAGAAAACGAACGAACGAACGAACGAACGAACGAACGAACGAACGAACGAACGAACGAACGAACGAAGAACGAACGAACGAAGAACGAAACGAACGAACGAAACGAACGAACGAACGAACGAACGAAGAACGAGAAACGAACGAACGAACGAACGAACGAACGAACGAACGAAACGAACGAAGAACGAACGAAACGAACGAACGAAACGAACGAACGAACGAACGAACGAAGAACGAACAAACGAACGAACGAACGAACGAACGAACGAACGAACGAACGAACGAACGAACGAACAAACGAACGAAACGAACGAACGAACGAACGAACGACGAACGAACGAAGAACGAACGAACGAACGAACGAACGAAACGAACGAACGAACGAACGAACGAAACGAACGAAACGAAACGAACGAACGAACGAACGAAACGAACGAACGAACGAACGAACGAACGAACGAACGAACGAACGAACGAACGAACGAACGAACGAACGAACGAACTAACGACAAAACGAACAACGAAACGAACGAACGAACGAACGAAAAGAACGAACGAACGAACGAACGAACGAACGAACGAACGAACGAAACGAACGAACGAACGAACGAACGAACGAACGAACGAACGAAGAACGAACGAACGAACGAAAAACGAACTAAAAGAACGAACGAACTAACTAAAAACTAACTAAAACTAACTAACTAAAAAAAAAACAAAAAACTAACTAACTAACAACGAACGAACTAATAAACAACTAACTAACGAAAACTAACTAACTAACTAACTAATCTAACTAACAACTAACTAACTAACTAACTTACTAACTTTCTAACTAACGAACTAAACCCGGATTTTTCTTCTAATTCTTGTAATTGTCCACTCCCTTTAATTAGCCTTCCTCTCTGCTTTCTAGTTTTGCATAACTATTAAGAAAAATAGTTTCGTCTCGTTTTCTTTTTGTGTCCCCCTCAAATTATATGCGTTTTTTTTACAAAACTGTATACTTTTGCATTATTTTATCTTTACCTAGATTAGTCTAC